CCGCAGGGCCCCGACCACAGCAGCGCGCGCATAGAGCGCTTCCTTCAGGCCTGCTGCGACGATCCGGACCACCTGCCAGGCTACTCGCCGGCAGACCGGTGGGTCTGGGGGCCACAGGGCGCCACAGTTTGGTTCTTCCTTGCTGGGCGGGCAGTGTGTGCAGATGAGGGGGGTGCATTTTGTTGGCTTGTGTGGGCCATTTCTAGGGTGTTGGGTTGGGTTCAAATCTTGGGAGTAGGGTCGGCGGGGACGGGGTGGTTTTCGGGTGAGGGCGGTGGCGCAGAAAGGGTCAGGGGTCTGCGGCATAAAAGTTTGTGTGCGGCATCGAAAACAGGCGCCTCCCATGCACGTGGACGCGCCTGGCCCCCTTGAGAATACCGGCACCACCAGGGTAAGGAATCCAGCACCTTGTGAGCACCACGGCCTCGTCCGCCTGCCAACCGCAACCGCAGCAAGCTGATGCGTGATACCTACGAGGCCGTGGTCAAGGAGTTTGGCGGCAAGCTCAACCGAGACGGCGTGCTGCGCCTGCTGCGCTCCCTCGGCGTAGACAGCGGCAGCGGCGGCGGCGGCGGCGGCGGAGGCAGCAGGGGCCGAGGGGCCAACGGCGGCGGCGGCGGCGGCAACGGGGGCGGCGACGAAGAGCCGCTGGATCTGCTGTGGAGCGAGCTAGGGCTGGGGCCGGAGGGCACGCCGGTGGGTCGCGCGCCGGCGCGCTTGAGCTGCTTGGTTCGCGGTGTTTGCGAATGCTTTGTGCGAGTGCTTTTCGCGAGTGTGCCGCCTGGCTGGCCTGAGCCTCACCCCGTGACGGGGCCCCGCGTGGCCGACCGCTTCATTATTGCTGTGTGCCGGCTGGGCGCGAGCGCTCTTCTTCGAATCTGACCCTGCCACAAGGCTGCTTTTGACCGCAAAGCCACCCGCGTCCCGGAGATTCCTTTTCTCTGACACAACCACCTATTCTCGTGTTTTCTTGATCAACATCACCTTCCAAGAGACACGCCCCCCTCTCTGGCGCCCCTGCCACCCTGGGAACCCCGATCACAGCCCCCAAACCCTAGCCACACATCCACACCCCTCCCACACTCCTGGCTGCCCTCCCCGCCTCTCTGATTCCCTCTGTCGCTGCCGCACCCCGCCCCCTGCGCCCCGCAGGTGACGCGCGCCAGCTGGGAGCGCTTCATGCTGCAGTGGATGCGCCGCAACGCGGAGCGCAGCGCCAACATGTTTGTGGTCAACGCCACCACGCCGGCGCAGTACTTCCACCTGCTGCGGAGACAGGTGGGCGGCACACCCACTGATTCGAGGGAGAAATGGGGAATGGGAAGACAAGAGCAGCCGGCGCCGTCACCACGCCAGCACCGCAGCGCTCGTCGCTGCCCAGCTTCCCTTCATGTGCCGCCCAGCAGCAGGATGGTTGTCGTCAAGCTGCTTTTGTGATGATGCGGCCGGAGGCCTGGCTGACACTCATAAGGCAGCCCCCTTTTGTTGTGATCTTTTCGCCTGATGCCGCCAAAATCCGCCGCCGCAGGTGAACCTGCGCCACAAGAAGCCCCTGGCCCTGTTCACCCCAAAGTACCTGCTGCACCACCGCCCCGCCACCAGCGCGCTGGAGGACTTCACCACCGGCAGGTGGGCGGGCAGACCAGGGGATCGGCCCCAAGCTTGGTGTTTGCAGCTTACACGTGCTGCATGGCAGCCATGCGGCCTGCAAGCCATGCAGTTTCTTGCGCAATTCGCTCTCAATTAACCGCCCTTGACGTCTGCGTTCACCTGCTGGCCTTCCCCCGATACCACCGCCCACGTGCATGCGTGCACCTGCACACAAGCATACACACGCCCACACCCGATCAAATCCTCTCCCTCTGTCTTGGTCACCCACACGCACAACCCTATCTCTGCCCAGCATCCACACACGTTGACCCGCTGGACTGCCCCCCTTGCCCCGAAAACACCCCTTACCCCCCCCTCCCCCAGGTACTTCAACCGCGTGATTGATGACGGCAAGGCCTCAGACAACACGCGCCACAAAGCCATCAACCCGTGAGCCACGCGGCCCCGGGCACTGGGGGTGCCCCCCGCACCCACCCAAGGGCCCCTCGGCCTCATATGGCAGGGGGGGGGGATCAATCTGGCGGGGTGTGGGGGGGTTGGCAGGACGTAAAGATGG